CCCCAAAACCCCAAAACCCCAAAACCCCATAGAGTTAGAGATAATTTGAATGATGACAATTTATAAAATTAAAGAGAAATCATTGAGATATAATTAAAAGGGATCATTTTATCTTGCAACTTCTAGAGATGGCACAAGCTAAAACAATTACAACAATTGACCAGAAATATTCATCTATGGTTCGTCTCACCAAAGAATACAATAATGGTTTGAGATCTCCTGTGAGTTAGAGTGGCTCTAATTTTGAAGGTATCAATAAATTTGATTTGATTTATAAACTAGAGATGAAAAGTACAAGGAGAAATACGAGAGGAATGACTGAGCTACGCAAGCATGAAACTACAATAGAAAATAAACTAGATAGTTCGCAGCACAAAAATAGCGTTTTCAATGAATCTGTTGGACAATAACTAAGTCAAATGATGAAGGGGACCTATCAGATAATTATTGGTATGAATTAATATCATTTACAAAAACTAGGGAACAAAAAGGTAAATTTTGATATTTATGATGAGATATTTCATCTTTTGCGACCCAATACCAGTACTATTTCCTCAACATCCTGCTTCTCATGTGATAAGGATCTCACTAAAAACAAATCTGTCCAGTATTGGTAATACTTGCCTCAGTATTTTTACATTTATAATTAGTTCATATTGTGGAAACAGAGCATGTGCTTAATGTATGCATAAAGAAAGAATTTTTAGTAGCTCTAGAGGATAGATAGGCACTGCTGATTAGAAGGGCAAGATCTGCAAAATTTGTGATAGAAAGTTCATACTCTATGACACATACGCTGAATATGCCTACGAAATAGAATAAAAAGACATATTAATAAAGGATGAAGCTGAAATCCTAGATTAAAAAGCCCTAGAATTCGAGGAATCTAAATAATAGCTTTAATTAATGAGGAATGAGGTCATCGAAAAAGAAAAAATTATTCAAGACAGCGATTATTAAACGAATAGGGAACTTGAAACATTAGATAACAATATAGACAACATTTAGCAACAATTAGATAAGATAAAGCTAAAATATAGTACGAAATAGTTTGATCAAAAAGCAATTAACTCGCAGTATATTGTTGAAAAAGAAGAAGTAAACAGATTGTAAGCAATTTATTACATTTAATTATAATAGAGAGAGGGTGCTTTATTAGGAAAAATAAATGTTTGAGATGAAGATAATTGAATTCTAAAATAACGAACAGCGATATTAAACAATGATGGTTGCAATAGATAAGAAAAAAACTCAAAATTAGAATAATTCTAAGGATGAGAGTCGAGTGACTCATAAGGGAGCTATTGAAGGTCGAGCATTATAAAGTCATTCTTACATTAACTAAAATAGTCAAGATTAATAAAAACCTTAAATGAGTTTATCGCCAATAAGAAAACCGCAATCTGGAGACATCTATAACGCAGATGACAAGGTACTTGGCTAGGCTTAAGGGGCTGTGAATAATCAGGCAAGCTACTAAACCTTTGATTCAAATGGATTGATTAGAACCTCTGATAGATCTCAGTAGCTTAATAAAAAAGCAGGCAGCCGAATAAGTAGAATGGAATCGTCTAAAGGCTGCTGTGCTCCTCAAGGTGGGTGCATAATAATTTGAGTGTGCCAGTATTGATGTGAAATTATACTTAAAGTAAACTATCTATAATAATGAATTAAAGCTTTTAGCTAAGTAATTTATTTTTAATTGACTTCATCATTAAACTTCAAACTATTCATTTTAAGTGGATTGGAGGCTTGAGAGTCACTAGAAGCAACGCAGAAACCTCCGACAAAAATTGGCAAGAACAGAGGGAGTTTCCTACTCATATAATGATATGAGAGTACCGCAATTATCCTGTAAGGCCCGCTGCCCTCAAGGGATTTCAAGCCCTTTGTTTTTCCTTACTCTTAAGTTCAAGCAAGAATTGCTATAACTTCGCACTGATTCCTTTTATGGTATCTAGAACTTATCTTTTAATGGGCCAGTTTTGATTTTAATAATTTAGCATTAAAATTAATAAAGTCAAAATGGGTTGCACATAAGCCCCTTCTAATCTCTCTATTACTAAAGTAGACCGTGAATATCTCCTAAGAAGAGACTATGTTTAACTTGAGCTCTCTACTCCTCAAGGATAGCAATTACTATTTAAACTTAAAATGATGCTGAAATGCGCGATTGAAGGTGATTTGGATGGAATCATTTAAATCTGTGAAGCCCATCAAGTTGAGAATATAGTGAGAGTAACTGGGGAATTAAGAGAGGTTAAATTATTAGGTTAGCAAACAACTACTGATGACTGGAATCCAATGCATCTAGCTATATATTACAAGCATTTACCAATAGTTAAATATTTTCTTGAGACATTGCAACTAAATCCAAGGCTAACTTTGCTTGGACCACTTGAACTTGACCAGACCAAAAATCAGGAAGAGATAGTAGTAAAGACTTCTATAGAGGCATTAGTGCCGTTTCCTTCACTTCAAGTGCTCTGCTACTCATTGGTCTTGGCTATAAATAACAAAGATTACAATATGCTAAACTATTTGTTGAATTAATTTAGTTAAGATGGAAAGTTTGTTAGTTATCCGATTTGGAATTCTGAATAATTGAGCTATGTATTAACAGGAGTGATTGCTGAAAAGTGGATAGAAGGTATTGATGTTGTATTAAAAGGAAATTGTTCTTAGCATATCTATTTGAATATGGATTATCATTAAAGGACGGACTTTATTGGTGAAAGAATAGCTAGACACTTAACAGAGAAGCTAGATAAAGCCGCTAAATTCAAAATATTGAGCAACTTAGCAGAATTTCCTTACGCTGGGTTAAGCATAGGATTTCTTGTAGACGATTTAGACTGCTCATAAATTTTACTAGAAACAGCTCTAGACAATATAAGTATTGATGATCTTGAGCTGATGTACATTTATGAATTAGAAGAAATGCCAAAATTGATCATAAAGCTAAAGGCTAGGGGAGTGTCAAAAGAATTAGTTAAACGAGTATTTTCATACGAAGATAAAGATCTTAAAGATAAAGCTTCACTAAAGTAGAAATTTTTAGAATTCATTGACCTCTGTATTGAGGGTGATCTAGCTAAAGTAAAGTATTTTGTGAGGTCTTAAGAATTGCTTAGTGTCAATTACTACTACAGTCTTCAAAAAAAATCTATTCGCTTTCTTTTCAGGTAGGAGCCTCCTGATACGAAGTATTTTACACCTCTAATTTATTGTATATTCTACGATAAGCCAAAGGTTTTAGAATATCTAATCTAAAAGGATCTTATTAATGGTTACAGCGGATTAAAAGAACCCCCATACACCTTTAGTGAAAATGAGGATGAAGAATTAGATGAATTAGGCGTTGCTGACGACGAGTGGTTCTAAAGTTCTTCTTCTGAAATATTTTGTTTAGAAATTCTGATAAGCACTAGAAACTTCTGGCTATTTGATTATGTGATAAATAAATTCCAACATCAATGGTGCTTTACTCATTTTTGTATGATCCTTGAACATACAATACAGAGAATGGACGAGGAAACATTGACTTAGCTGTTCAAAAACAAAGTATTTAATGAGGCTTTTGATGTCCTTAGATACCAAGATTAGTTTAATGTACTTCATTATTTCACAACAAAAAGCATTGAATACATTAGTCTTGACATAAAGAATCAGAGTAAATATGAAAGAAGGATTAATATAGCGATGAGTCTTTTAGATCTATTATCATAAAGGCCTTTTTGTCCTCAATATATATTTATATTGATTGCAATGGAGGATGAAATCAAGAATGTTTTTTGTGCTGAAGGAGAGAAATTTTTTAATTCGATTTTTAAGAAAGCATATAGAAATACAACTGATGAAGATGTTGAAATCCTTATAAAAGTAAAGAAAGATGAAATATTAGAAATTACTTCTGCAGAATTCAAAGCTGAAAACAAAGATAATGCTCTCGTATTGGCTGTTATTAAAAGAATTGAATCCAAACTTATATAATGATTAACTTAAATTTCTTAAAACGTTATCTAATTGACTATATATTAAGTAAAATATAAATAAATCAATATTAAGATACTAAAATTATAATTATGTTCATAATTTTGATAATCGGGGTTTTGGGGTTTTGGGGTTTTGGGGTTTTGGGG